ATGAATTGAACCGCATCGGTGCCAGACGAATGATAGAAGATATTAAGGTTGAAGATTTGCCACATTTGTACTAGTCGCACTGAACAAGCAACTTTTAGAGCTTTGGTGTTTGGCCAATTCTTGAAGGAGATGAGAAGTGGCGAGTGAAAAACTTCGACCTAACGTCATTGCTGATCCATGCGTCACAAATTCGTAGCGTCGATGTGTTCATCTCCTACGATATCGCTCTCGACAACAAAAACGTTTCTCGCCGTATCATCAAGGTTTGCGAAAGGCTTTTCTTTTGTTTACTCACTGAGCGAGCATTAGATATTGATACCGTAACTCCAGCTTACTTGCCTGTATTCTTCGCAGAAATGCAAGCTTTTGCTTATGTTTGGTCGCCTTAGTTTGCCATTGCGCGCGGTGCTTCAAACGTTTCGGTACATTGAACTTAATAAGAGCAAACTGGTCTTATTTACAGTTTACAAGATTTTGCTTCTTGAGCGTCACAAATTCGTAGAAAAACGGTTTCGCAATGATTTTCAAATTGTGCGCAGTCGCTCAAAACGATAAATGCAAAATCTTTTTGGAAACTTCTACATTACTGTGTAGGCAAGTAAAGATCAGAAGAACCAGGTTACCTGAAAATTTTTCATTTACGCGTCTAAATTGAACATGTCATAAAATCATTATAGTTTGTCTCATGTCTGTCATCGTCTGTTGTCTTCTATCAAACAACTAGGTGTTTGATGGTACAATGTTTAAAAATGCGTTTCAAACCATCATTAAAGTGTAGCAGTCAAAAAATCAAACGAACTACCTTTTTAAGCCCCCAATGGAATGTGTAAAATATGGAGCTCGTCTTCCTCTACAGTTGTGGACTTTTTTCCTCTGCTAAAAATGCCGTGCATGGGCTTTGAGCTAAAACAACAGTACAAGAGCTGAGTTTGTGAGATTTCCAAGTCATGATAAACATGTAATTAACAATTTATTATAGCTTAATGGAGCACTTTTGTTTTGGAAAAATAATCGACAGCTCGTTTTAACTATAGATAGCAAAAACAAACTTCCACACCTTTTAACGGGTTTTAAATAACGAAGGGATTTGAAGTTAGACCTTCAAGCCCCACTCACCGATATCCTATATAAAAAGCTAAGTTTAACCCGCATGTTTTTCATGTAGGTAACAGATTTTGGAAAGCTCTGCTGAAGGAGTGCGGAAAAAGCAAGTTTTTCGCTACGTATACCAGGCCGTCAGTTAGCAACCGAAACTTCAGCTCGATACAAATCAATTCTGAGGCAGAACACAAAAGGTCATAAAGGATGAGCTTTTTTACCGGCTTTGGGTTGAAGTAGTCAAACTATGCACATAAAGCTTGTTTGTAGCTAACGTTACAATACGTCACGGGTTGGTCCGAAAGTTTGACAGTCTATATTGAGGAACATAACTCATGAATCTCACTGCATTGAAATTCGATTAAACCTGGCATCTCTTATATCCCGCTCATTAAGAAAGTTATTAATATAGTTACATCATTTTGCAATTTAGAAAATTTGCAGGAGTAGTATCTAACGGGCTGTCTACAAATATACGAAGGTATATGACCATAACCTTTTCCTCTCAAATACCAACACACAACAGCTTTCTTTGTCTATGTTTCTCTAATCACTGCATATTAGTACTGAGGAAAATTCTCTTTGCCCTTACCTGCTAAACTTTTGTGCGTCCCACGTTTTTTTCCACTGCTGAAAGGTCAAAACTGTGCAAAAAGAACGGTTAAAGACAAAGTTAATGGGATCACTTACTTATAATGTGTTCAAAGCAAGCGTTGCATCACACTTGGGCTTTTTACGCCAAATACTTGACAATTACGTGCCTACGGCGATGTGCTTGTAGGAGGATTGTGAAATTTCTGGAAAAAGTTGTGTCTGATCACCAGAATTATGA